ATTGGACTAATTTTTTTTATTACATAATAAAAGTGGCATAACTTACCCCGCAACTAAACGAAATACGCAAGATGGAATCGGTACTTTATCTACCAGAATAGGGATAGAGATGGTACCAATTACAAAATAAAATTAATATGACATATTTTCTAAGGGACAGAGTAAAATTTTGCCACATCCATTCGAATTTCACCCGTTAGCATCCCTACTCTCACCTTTGGCTCTCACGTTTCCCACTCAATAAAAAAAACTTGAATTGGTAAACTTTCTCTGGTGCCATGCAAACAAAGGTTAGTACTTTAAAAATTTTCCACCAACAAAAAATTTGAAATTAATTTGAAATTTTCTATATATATATATATATATATATAGTCAAATCAACAAACACAAATTATACCCTAAAATAATGCCAGAAGGAAAATTCAATTAGTGGTGATAAATTATATCAATAGTCAAAAATTATAATATTCAGCGTGAAATATAATGTTGAAATTACTAGGTCTTACAAAAAATAAGAGGAAAAATAATTACTTGAAAAAACAAGATTATCAATCATTATTAAATTACATAATAGCTCATAAATCAACTAGAAAAATAGTTATTGAATCTACAAAATCTTACAAAATTCAATATATAGCGTAACAAACCGATGATGGTATAAGACGAAAGAATAAATAATTATTAGAATTAAGTGTGAAATATAATCACTGATCCAAATAATTAGATAAATGCTTTGTTGAGTTTAATGGATAATTGAAGACTAACTAACTGATTTGAAAGGTAAAGATTGGTCGATGAAGAAAAAAAACCTCCAATAACTAATCCCACACCAACTCTGACAAAGATGTCCATGGGCGTGTCCTAAAAAATCTAAATCTACACCATAATAATAAATTATGTTATAGAAAAGAAAAAAAAAATTACGTTCTAATTTTCTACCAAACATACTAAGTAGAAAATCACTCTTGTTTCAGAATCTGTAACATTCATAGCACCAATATTTGGATAGAGAGAGACGTGAGAGATAGAAGTGGCAGACAAGAATGATTTGAAATTTCAAGAGTCCTAATTTTATTAGTTTTAGGTAAATATGGAATATAAAATATAAATAGTTAATTTCTTGTTATATGTGAACTCTTTAGTAATTTTATTGTTAATAAAAAAAGAATGGAGCCCCTAAGGATATTGGTGAAGCGACAATATCAACTCCTTTCTTCTTTTTCTTATTATTATTAATAATAAGTGATAATAATAATAAGTGACTTACACACTAATTTGTTTTATTTAGAATTCAAACCTTCTTTTATATATATATTTTTCATTCAATAGTTTAAAAACATTTCTAAGATAGTATTAAGTATAAAGCCAAATTTTGGCAGCTTTAATTATTTCTAAATTGCAAGATTTTTATTTTTATTTTTTATTTCTGATAAACTAGAGGGAGGAAGACTCGAACACAGGTATACAGTATACCCGCTCCCGAGTTAAGCGTTTTACCAACTAAACCACTTAATAATGCCGAAATCTAATGTTGTTATACCAAAATGGGGTCATTCTTGTCATCCAAATTTATCTCAATTTGATTTGGGCATCCATCCAATCCAACCACTCACAATTCACTATGAATTGTTCATTTTTTTTTTCCTAGTTGAATTATTCAAATTTTATTTTATTTTAAATTACTATTATTTTTGTTTAAGGCATGAATGTTAGGGATTAGTGGTTAGTTATTGTAGAGAAATAGATGATGCAAAGCTCGAACACATGCTCTCAAACACACCAAGCAACCCAACTATTGAGACAATAATTCGTTTTGAGCATCATGTATACATACAAATTATACCATTGATAGCCCAAGGGGGCAAGTGGCCCACCCACTATACATATGGTATTTTTTTAAAAAATAATTACATAAATATATAGAATTTTTTATATGATACCCCCTAACAATATTTGTTTTCTAAAATTATTTCTTAATTTTCTATTTTTTCTCTCTTTAAATTCCTTTAAAAAGGTTAAATTTTTCATGTTAAATTGAAGTCTATTTTTTTTTTGCTCTTTTTAAATTATGTCATTTTTCTTTCCTTTTTTTCCCTTCTACTTCTTAAAAAAATTCTTCTTCTAAAGGAAATTACTTTTTATAACCGTGTAACTTTCCCATAAAATTTGTAAGATTCTTACAAAAAAGACACCAAAATTTTGAAATCTTGACAGAGCTCTATGAAATTACAATACTGTCCTTTCTTTTATGGTAAATTTTATAATTTTCTTAAAAAAAATTTATGTTAATTAGATATAATATAGTATATTTATTTTTCTTTTATTTTTTTCACTTCCTATTATTAATTTTCATCTGACTAAATGAAGTCTTATTTATTTATTCATTCAATTATTGGAGTCCAAGTGAGTTAGATTTTAAACCATTTACATGAAACATCAACATTACGAAGTTACATGAGTGATGAGCAATTTCCAAAGGGAGGGTTTAGATCTTAATTGTCAAAAAGTTAAAGAGAGAAGGGGGTGACATATTTCCAATTGGAATTTATGTCAGAGAGGAAAGCTTTCTTATTCCAATTAATTAGTTAGGTCACTTGACTTACTGGAAGCAATTTCACTTGCCAAAAATACCCTCCATTGTCAAGAATTTTAACGAAAAAACCATACCCATGACTTAAATGGGTGTTATAAATACGTACTTATCCAAGATGACTTAAAATAAGACTAGTATTGATGAAGATATTCCAACCCTGTTTTGGCCTTTGGTGGCCTCATAAAAACTCCAAATTTAATATCAATTAACTGATTGCAGCTGAGTTTTAATTGTATTTACCAAATAACCAATTCTCATTAATTACAATGTTTTCTATATTTGAATTCAAAATTTTAGTAATTGTATTTACCAAATAACCAATTCTCATTGATTAAAATGTTTTCTTTATTTGAATTCAAAATTTTAATACCAATTCATTGATAGCAGATGATTTTTAATTAGGACCAAATACCTACCCAATAAATATAGCTCTTCATTAATTTCAATATATTCCCTGTTTTTCTTAGGCGGCTATGTATCACCACCCAGTTTCCCCAATTTTTTTAAAATAAAAAATTAGTTTGAATATATAATTATATGTTTATTAATATATTCCTATTTGTATTATAGAGATTTCAACCCTATGACCCATTAATGATCCATTTGCTCCGTATAACAACTCCTATATACTAATGTAACTAAGCAATTTGTGTTCAAAATAATTTCTAATCAGAGTTCTACCAAAAGTTTTTTTGCATATCATTGGCTAAATTAGTCTTTTTGCTGCCCTTAATCAAAGGAGTGCCCGGTTTATGAAAGGAAGGGGTGCCCTGGTCAGCTTTATAGAGTCAATAAATCAAACCATACTAAAAATGAACCTACATAGAAGAATAGAAGCTATGACTAGATATATTTTACAGAAATACCTTGTATCATCCAAAATCAAAAGTGGGACTATAAACTTCAGGCTTCAAGTACTATAAATAGGAGCGAAAAGGACTGGTTATATAGTGTGTGTACAGTGTGTGTGTGTGTTTGATATTAGGACTGAACTTTGCTATATGGTTGAATTAAAAAATGATTTGAAAGTGAAATTGTTTAGTCATGTCCCATGTGTATCATCAGTGTATGTGGTATTTTATGCCGTAAATTATTAATAGCCTAGTCCAACAAACTTGTGCCACGTACATAGAGAGTTTTTATGTTGTGAAATCAAATCTGCCTATATTATTAACATTGTATTTACTAAACTCTTTAATGTTTGAAGCTTTTACTACCAGATTGATTTTCATGGACAGATATCATAAATATTAGTAGTTGGTGGAACTGTACCATTAGTTCACTTATAATTTAAGAGGTGGAATTTCATTCTTTTCTTCTTTTCATACAAATATTGTTTTTAGGGTTTTTGCACATAATCAAAGGCTTGTCATTGTTGTTGCTATTGTTTCCTGGGCATATTGACACTCCTTGTAATGCATCAGAAACAATACGTTATTACTATAACCAAATTGAGCTTACTATGCTTCCATATCACAATAACATATAAATAAATAAATATATAGTAATATATATATATATATATATATATATATATATAGACACACACACACACACACACACAAAAAAAAAAAAAAAAAGTATTGCCGTGTGTAAGATTAATTGGGTATAAATGTGTGTCAAGACTTAATAATTGCAGCCATTTTGCTTTTTCATACAGTAAGAATTAAATGGCTTTAAAGTCCCAAATCGTTGTTCAAATTTGAAAGTGAAGTCACGTTTAATGTATCAATTAATAACCTTATATCTATTTCCCCCTTATTTATTTTTTCTAGTTTTTTTTTTTTTTTTTTAATTTATTTAATATAGATATACCAAGTATAAAAAAGAAGAAGAAAGAAAAGGAAGGAAAAGGTAAAAAGAAAAGGAAGTAATGGATGAAGATTGAAGATAATGATAGAACTCCTAAGAAGGTTGAAGCTAATGACCTTTGAATAATTTAATTCAACAACTATATAAAATCATATAATAAAATGGCATTAAATAACAGTAGGCCTAAGTGCAGTTAACATCATAACCTTAAAGGCAGGCAGCCACAGGCTGGGTCAATGAAACTAATAGTTTATGCCTCATTAATTAGTATAACATACGCATTCTTTTTTTATAGTTTTTATCGATGACAATATTTGTATTTTTAAATTATATTTATGTTATTTTTAAACATTTCAAATGATATCTCCTATCATTTCAAAATAAAAATAAAAAAGTGGATGATTCAAAATTTTAAAGAATAATAATAACTCATAGTTTAAAAAAATGCATATGAAATAGAGTAGATTTTAGATATCTATCAAGAATTTATAATGGTGTGGTTGGATCTGTTAGAAATTCGGTTTAGCTTTAAAAGAAGTTGGGCTTTTCTTGTGTTATATTGCCATCTCTCTCACACACACATTCATTAATTCATATATAATTTGTGTATATATATAAAACACCGACTCCCTAAGCAATGAAGGCTTCCTGCAATTTATAATTGCAATATTTACTCCAATTTTCCCTTTTCTGCACCATCTTGGGATTTTTCCAACCATTAATACATTTCCTGCCCCTCAATTTACACTCTCTCGTCTTCTACCATTCCTCCTTCAATTCAATTCAATTCAATTCAACACACTCTCTCTCTCTCTACCTTTCTCTCTCTATACTCTCTTCTATACCCTCCTCTCTCCCTATAATTAAATTAAGCTTTAAAGAAACCCATCTCTCTCCCTTGATTCCTCTTATATATAAATGGCCTTAGAGGTTCAAAACCAACAACCACAACCACTTGAACAAGGTCATGTTAGTGGTGGTCTTGCGTCTCATGACCATGATGTGCTCACCGGCCTGAGCCTAGCCAGTCTCCGTCGACCCATCCCGGTCACTCTTGATCTCTTTCATACCAGCCAACCTTCATCACATATAGAATCAGAAGACCTCTACCCTCTTCCCTTAGGTTGCCAAAAGATCCTCAAACTCAAGGTACAATTATACATATATAGTATGTGATCATATATTTGTCGTATCTAAGTTTCTTTATATTATGGAGCTTATACATATGGTTCAATTTCGTTCTTCTTTTATAATGTTTTGTTACTTAATTTGCTCTTTAACCTCTTTTTGGTGTTTTTTCAGGCTCTTGAGATATCTAATAACAAAATTGTGAAAAAGAGGTACTTGGAAGACACAACAATGAGTCGCCAAAACGGGAACGGACCAAAACTTGACTTGAAGCTGAATTTGTCACCACCGAGGGCTAATCGAGTCCAATCACCAAGCCGATCGGCATCGGTGTCACCAACATCACCGCCGAGTTCATGTGTGTCATCGGAGCTCAACCAAGATGAGACCCTCCGCTACTCCAACAGCCCTGAAGCAACCTCCATGATGCTGGTTGGCTGTCCTCGCTGCCTCATGTATGTCATGCTTTCCGAGGAGGACCCAAGATGCCCAAAATGCAAAAGCACCGTTTTGCTTGACGTCCTCCATGACAACGCTGCCTCTGCCACCGCCACCGCCACCGCCACCACCAAGAAGACCAAGAAGAGCTAAGAAGAGCCAGAGTAGGCAGCCTCTTTTCAAAGCTTGTAATTCTACTATTACTAAGAGTAGGACTTATGTTACCTCCCCCCATCTTTTTGTCCTTTTTACCTTCGGCTATTTGTGCTTCACTTTTAATTTTATAAGGTTCAAAAGCATTATCAATGCACATGTAAAAAGGTGAAGTTTGAATAGGACTATCTTTTTTTTTTTCTTTTTCTTTTTTAATCTTTTTAAACCATAGGATATTGGGCAATATGGGCATAGTGATAGTTTTGGTGGTTCAATTATCTTCCTTCTTTAGCAGAAAGATAATTATATGGACTGTTTGCAACTGCCCAAATTTTCCTAATATAATGTTCCATAATTTGTGTCTTCATTTTAATTGCCTTCTGCTTATGTTGGTGTTATGTCCGATTATGGCATTCTAGATCAGGTTGTTAGGCAAATGGTTAGTTCATCTGTGTGTGTGTGTGTGAGAGAGAGAGAGAGTGAGAGAGAGAGAGAGAGAGAGAGAGAGGAGAAAAGTAGGTAAAGTATGTCAAACGTTTATACAGTTGGTTAGATTTTAGTTAAGGGCTTTATTGACAGTTATGTCAAATGTTTATACAGTTGGTTAGATTATATAGTCATATGTTACCTTGTTGAAAGTAGTTCGGTAAAATGGTAATGTTGCCAAGGATGGACCCACTGAGTTATATAATTGGGCCACAACTTGTTGAAGTTACATGGCAAAATGTCTACTAGACCCTCCAACACGTTGGCCTAAATCACACGGTTCATGTTCATCTATGTCCACTATCACTGAAATGGGATACTAAAATCAGTAGGCTAGGAAGCACTCTAATTCGACAAGGCTCACAAGAAAGTGAACAACCAAAGCAATGCACATGTTAAATATCACCAATAATAATTTTAATCATTAGATTAGTAATAAAACAAAAGGTAAAATCCCTACTCAAGTGCTAGGACAAAAATATACCATGCAGTGGTACATATGGAGTATGTCATGTTTGTGATTTAAAACTATTATGTTTATGACCTAAGGGAATAAGGTGGGAACAAGAGAAGGGTAATTAAGTAAATGCAGGTAGGAAAGAGTGGGTTGGGTAGTTCGAGCATTGAAAAAAGGGGGGACTATATTAGATTGAAAGACCATTAAAAACAAATAAATGCAAGAGTAATTGAGACGGTTGAGAATAATGAGGGGTATTACGTCAGATGATAAATACCAAATTTAATTCACATACTTGGCCAATCTCTTTGTCTTGGGTCATCTTCTCTGATATACCTTTACTATATTTCATATTTATTAGTATCTATTTATTTTTATTTTTATTTTTATTTTTATCTTTTCGCCTTCAATTTTACTCCTTCCACTAAATGCCATGTTCTGCTTCCATTCTCTGTTTGGGCATCCTCCTCATCTCTCACATTACTCCATCTTCTTCTCTTCAATTAGTTTTACTTCTTTTTCCACTCCTCCAACTCCCTTAACTCATACGCATGCAACTCTCTCTCTCTTCTCTCCACACATTCATTAGTATAGTTGAGTTTTTCAAATCTTTTAATTTTTTCTCATTGAAATGCACAGGGAGAATAAAGAAGACCTTATCCCAGTATACAACCGGAAAATGTGTACTTCTGAAACTATTGCATAGATATACCATGCATCTATGTGTTTGTGTTTGTACTTTGTATGTGCGTGTTTATATACATAAATATACACACATAGAGAGAGATGATTTTAAAATGTGTACTTTTGAAACTATTGCATAGATATACTATGGATCTTTGTGTTTGTGTTTGTGTTTGTGTTTGTACTTTGTATGTGTGTGTGTTTATTATATACATATATACACACACATATACAGAGAGATCATTGGACTGAGGAGCAGAGGGTTCAGATGTCTAATTGTCGGAGCAAACCGAATTCACAAAATCCTCTTGACTGGGTTGTTGCTCTCAGGATCTCTGTGCAAATTGAGCAAATCCTTCCCCAGTTCGTAAATTTAACTTTGCCAATCCTTGAATTCAATTTAAGTAATAGTGACTTCACAAACACTTCAAATTCAAAAAGTTATTAAAAATTCTCAAATTTTGTTTACTGTTTAAAAATTCCAGCACTTAAAATTTTAAGTACTTAAATTCTCAATTTTATCATTTAGCTTATTACTACTAATATGTATCTCCTAATATTAAAGAAATAATGATTACTCATATCTTAACACATTTCCTCAGGCTTGTGAGATTAAGCTTAAACATATTTCCTCGTGCCTATGAGATTTTTTACTATTTTACCAAGTAATTGCCTAAAGCATGTTACAAATATTAAAACTGTTTTATACATATAAATGTTTATAAATAGATATAATTGAAGCGCTCCCGGTCTGACAAGATTTTATTTTTTGTTGCTTTCTCACCCTCGCTCCGCTTAGTGCGACTTAGGAACAAACTCGCATTACAAAAATTATAAATAAATAATCTAAGACCAAAGATACAAGCAATATCTGGATATGGAGGGGCCACAGTATGGGAACAAAATGAAAATTACAAATTGGCACAGAGGAAAAACTATTAAATGAGATTCGTCAGAGTAAAGTTCAAAAGTACAAGTAGGTAACCAGAACATTGAAACTTAACAAAACCACCAAAATAATTTTGTCGCCAGCATTTTATCTAGAATAAAAAGATTAAACATATTTCAAGGTGAGCACCAAACTTAACTAAAATGTCAAAGATAAGTCATTTAATTTTCTCTTCGTAGAAAATATAAGATTAAAGATAAATTGCAGAGCATTAATCACCCGTCATATCCATCATCCTTCTCTACCAAATTCTCATTTATCATCCATTCAAAAAAATTGTGGTTATTTAATATGCATGTAATCTATATACGCCCATACCAGAGTAATTTGGTACCACCAGCCAGTTTTTCATAATCATGCGTTTGTGTGGGCCTCATGTCGGTGAGCTTGTTTACCTGTTCAACATTAACATGATTAACAGTAAACAACCCAAGTCATTTTACCCTCATTTTTGTTCTGTTTCTTCACATTATGATCACATGATGTTGAAGAAATGAAAATGATTTATAGTTATGTCAATCTGATTAGATAAATGAGTGTCATTTCACTAAAAACTCAATCCGATGCTAGACATACCTGTTTATGCTAAAGCTTTCAACGCCACCATTCCAATAAAAAACTCTAATAACACGAAGCCATTGTAAACTATGTCCTAAGCTGTTTAATGTTAGAGCCACGAACGAAGATCCCAATGCAAATGCCTAACCAGAAAACAAATCCCCATTAAGACGATGTCTGCAAAGAAGATGGAGATAGAACAAAAATGACAGAACGAAATCAATTTGTAAGGGGGGAGAATATTAAATGGAAGAAATAAAATAAAAAATAAAAAATAGATAAGTATTAAACGAAATAAATCATCTCACATAATTGTCTGCATTCCAGTTATACAAGGACGATATATGGATTTCTTTCTTATAGACATACAGCAAAACTGCAACCGAACAATCACATTGTCCCTAATTGAACCGCAGAAAGCAAAGAGGAAAAGAAAACTAAACAGGGCATCTAATGTTCCATCACAATATCTGATACCAGACATTTAATTAGCCAATGTGAGAACAGAATTAGAGTCTACATTCAGAGGCATATGATATAGGACAGCATTCCTTCAAACAACCTAAATTCTACAAAATAATTTGGTCACCTTGTGATCAGCTTCGGCAAATGACAAAAACCCCATTGACACTTGATTATGTATTCCAGATATTAGCAGTCCATGCTTGGGAAAGACTCAAATAAATTTCTTACTTGAGTATGTTATTACTATCTTTGCTCAGAATTCCAAGATTTCAACACCCACGTGTTTCTTGCCAAGATATTAATTTAAGAACTATGGTGCTTCACTCAAACCTCTGTTGTTCAAGAAAGCATCGTGAGCTGTTGAGAAACTAATTATAATTCGGGCATTTTTCAGTTGACAACCCACGAACTCCCAATTTTGATGGTGTCAATCAAAGAACTTATAGAATCCTTGTTCTTACCTTATTTTCTTTTCTTTCTGCAAGTAAAATAGAATTAATATTAAATCAGATAAAAAGTGCAAATACTAACTAATTGGCAAGAGATTAAGCCCTTTCTTGAACTTTACCCTCCCTAACAATTGTTGCTGCAATGAAGATACTTACATTAGAAAAACTTATTATGCAAGAATATGTGAAGCTATGTGAGGGTGGGCCTTGGCGCAATGGTAAGATTGTTGTATTGTGACCTAGAAGTCACGGGTTCGAAACACTAAACAGCCTCTCTGCATGTGGAGGTAAGGTTGTGTACATCTAACCCTCCCTAGACTCCGCAATGGTGGGAGCCTCATGCACTGGGCTAGCCCTTTAGATGTGAAGCTATGTATGCAATATAAGACTCCATCCTAATGCCTACATAAACATTTTATATTCCATCATGACCAACCAGCTTTCATTACGAACCTAATCATTTGCTAAAGCCAACAATAGGTTTGCAACTCATCCCATTCTCGCCCTTAGCTTTTAGTGCTTTCATATAAATATAGCAATACATAGCAATCATCAAACTTCACTTCTATCCATTCTATAGATCTATGAACTAAATTTTTTTAGAGAATAAAAAATACTATGCATATAACTTCTCAGCATAGTTAAAATTATAGGCTTTTATGAGTTTAGCTCTGTAAAATGTTATTCTCGTTCCTGATTCGACAGGTCAAAATCCTTATCATATCTGGCATAGTGGTCCATGCGGAACCACCTTCTTGTTTTAGACTTTTATTGCAATCCTCAACTTTCAGAATCTTCTTTAAATTCATCAATGAGCTACAACATGCAAGATAGAGGTTGCAATATAATAAATGATATATTGCAGTCAGGTGACATAAGAAATCACTAAAAAGTCAAAAGTGCTGTCTACAATTAAGGTCATGGTGGAAATGTATGTATGTTTCTAAAACGGGATTGAGAAGTGGTAAGCTTTGTTGATTGGACTATTCAATTATACAAAGGCAGTGATAAAGGAAACGTGATGCAAGAAAGGCCTTCTAGTGACCTTAAATATATATCCATCAAATGTATTCTATTATAGAACACCTCCAACACTATTATAAAACAAATAATCTACCAATCCACCAACTCACAGCATATGTTCATCACCTTCCCCATTTACTTAATATCTACTATCTATGACATTACTTTTGGTCTTGCATATCCCCCTTCTCGTCAAATGAAAATATTTGCAGTCACCTATAAGTATCATCTCCAATTCCACTAGTTTCAATAGTCACATCATTCCAGTCAACCATAACCACAAACAAGCTCATTGCCTTTCCTCTCACCTCACCCATTGTCTTAGTTTATTAGTTAGAGAAGTGACAAAACCCATTGCATGTTCTTTTCAGTAAATAACAAACCCCATTTCATTACAAAACTTGTAAAATGAAAAAAGATGGACTATTTTGTGAAATAATTTTTCGATCTATAAAAAGAGGAATTTGTGCCGGTGAGAAAAAATAAATAAATTTCGAGCAATCACAAATGAAATAGAAGAACCGGCATTTTGTAAACAAATGCAGTTCAATTTTTTGATTCTGGGATACAAAGATATCAAATGGGCTACATCAATCTAGTATGCCCAGTAACACATGCACGGTATTGCATATCTTTTAGATAATCCTCTTAAAGAATTAAAAAGCGAGGTCTTTCTTCCATGATGTACACTGACTATTCCTACATTAGATTTAATGGAGGAATCGGAGGAAAATCTTTCAGTAATTGATGTTGTTTCCTATTATTGAAGATTTGGTGTTACTAGAGGAATAAGTGGAGAAAATTCCTCATTTCCTATTTTCTAATTCTTTCCATTCTCATAATTTCTTCTCCTATATAAAAGAATCTCCACCATTGTATTGTATATGAGTTGAGAGAGTATTATAAAAGTGATGTAGCCCTTTGGGATCTTTGTGCCGTAGATGTAGGCCCTAGTGGCTGAACCACGTAATATCTGTGTGTTCTACTGGTGGCTTCCGTTTTATGCTTTTCAACATGGTATCAGAACCTAATTTCTCTTCTTAGGTTCAGACCCCTATTTTAGGGTATTCCTTTAGCATTTGATATTTTTCTAAGGGTTTTTTGGTGCTATTTGTGACTTATTTGGGCTGCTGGTTTGTTTAGCAGTAATGCTCTTCGCCTTTGCCATGTCTCCAGCAGCTTTTACTGACTTGTTTGGGCTGCCGATGTGTTCCATAGCATTGTCTTTGTCTTTGCCGTGTCTCCGGTAGTTTTTATTGACTTGTTTGAGCTGCCGGTGTGTTCGGTAGCATTGTCCTCGCCTTTGCCGTGTCTCCGGCAGTTTTTGGTTGACTTGTTTGGGCTGTTGGTGTGTGTTTGATAGCATTGTTCTTCGTCTTCTCTCTTCTTCATTCACACTTGTTGTTACTTGTCATCTTAATGGCAAGTTGGGCGTTCATGCTCCAACTTAAGGGGGAGTATTGAAGATTTAATGGAGGAATCAGTGGAGGAAAATCTTTCAGTAATTGATGTTGTTTCCTATTATTGAAGATTTGGTGTTACTAGAGGAATCAGTGGAGAAAAATCCTCCTTATTTCCTATTTTCTAATTATTTCTATTCTCATAATTTCTTCTCCTATATAAAGGAGTCTCCACCATCATATTGTATATGAGTTGAGAGAGTATTATAAAAGTAATGTAGCCCTTTGGGCTCTTTGTGCCGTGGATGTAGTCCCTAGTGGCTGAATCATGTAATATCTGTGTGTTATACTAAATTTATTTATCTCTTCGCTTCCGTTTTATGTTTTACAACAAGATTCAATTGGTTTCTAATATCATTAATCAATACATCCACAAGAGCTTACTTATAGCTATTAGATTATGTTAGGCTTAACTTACTAATTAGAAAAGAACTCCTTTTGGTTTTATATTGTCACTTCTTAATTTAAGAATGATATCAAACCACAAGCTCTAGCAAAAAATTACATTGGGACTTTAAAGGCACATACCTTGAAGTTAAAAACGAACTTATTCATATAATAAAATAACTACACAAGTATTTCGAATCATTCTGTCTCAGATTCTAGTCTATATTGAATTATTATTATTATTATTTTTAAGTTTCTGCAATTTATTACCGAAATGAACTAGGGGGAAAACAGGCAATCCAGGATTAATCAGCTTGATTCAATATCAGAAGGGAAATAAAAATATATATATAAAAAGAGAGAGAGAGAGAGAGCGAGATTGTTTGTTTCCTTTCTGTATTCACACAAAGGGAGTGCTGAAAATTAAGTAGTAGAAATTTATTGTCTCTTTGCAAGAACTTGTAACCCATGCCAGACCCAGAAAACTGTGCCCACATTCAATTCTACTTTTTATTTTTCCATTTTTCCAAATTTATCAACTTCTGAGGTATAAATTTTAGTGAGCCTGTGAACAAAGTTTCTCTCTTATGCCAGTTCCTTTCAAGATTTTTAAGAGAACCGAACAAATACAGAGGGAATTCAAACCTATTCTCTTCTCCAATATTCTGCCATAGCAAACATAGTTCTAATTCTAACAAAAGGAACCTAGACAAACTTCAATACAGATTCTCCATAGTTGAAAGGGTTAACATAAATACTAAAAGTAAACGCCATGAGCCCTAGGGTTGATTTTATTTTATTATATAAGTGATTCATTTATGGAGTGGGCGGATAGAGATAGCTAAAGCATCCAGGGTCTTCGTTGCAATGACCTTTCTTTTCTGTTCTGCTCACCTTGATTATTGACCATTCAATAAAGTAATCGTTAACCTTAAGGGACATCAAGTAACAAAAGGATAATGGTCTCAAATTCATAGTTAGAAGTTGACATCATCTCCTCCTTTGGGGGCTTTCAAGGGTAAGTTAAGAATTTCAAGCTGAATCTTGTTTTTAATAAATTGGCTTTTAGCACTCATTGCTGACTAAGTGAAGAATTTTAATGCTAGAATCAATAAAAGCATGAGTGAACTTTAATCTCTTTCTAAAACCCTTGGCTGTAGCATTCTACTCTACCTCTCTAATATTACGGACTTCCTTCTGGAAATAACAGTATTTCTCCAAAGTTCTATTAATGGGAAAGAAATCCGAAGTGAATAAATAAGCGGTTTACAAGAAGAGGGGCTACACTTCCTTGGATGCATGATCAGTCCAATCGAGTTTTCCTTCACTGGTGTCTGTCTGACCCTTTTTTATTGTTCATAATTCTGACTAATGCAGCAAATGAAGTACAAAAAATTAAAGGATGCAATCTTGTCAGGCCTCAGAGGGTGTCAAAAGGATTGTTTGACCGAATCGGATCAAGTGAATTGCACCAAAGTTCCTTGCAATTAACACAAAGACAATAGCGTCTTATGGAAAATGGATGCGGAGACTTTAGAGAGAGATTGAGACTGTTGGCCATTGGTTCCGTGGAGTAAATTGAGCAAACACCCAAAAAGCTGAAACTCCAAACTGTCTAACAGGGTGAATCGTACATGTCCTGAAAAATTTGTCTCCCAACTTCCCACTCAATGGGTGTCAAACACATACATATGACAAGTTGGAACTAAATAGACAGTATCTCAAACTAGCTTAATCTGAAGGATTTCAATTTTGTTAAAACAAGATGGTTTGCACCAACGAAAGAATCAGAAAAGGGAAATAAAAAAAGAAAAATCAAATATATTTTAGGATACCTCATTTTATAATTACTGTCCAAACAAAGAAAAAAGAGCTATCTATAATTATTCTTCATATATATAATTCTAGATAATTTAAAACTTATAATCAAATATATTTTAGGATATTTTTAATAATTAAAAGCAAAAAGATTTTACCGAGTCATAAAAACCAAAAATTTTACTATTTGAACTCTGTTGTAAAGCATAAAACGGAAGCGAAGAGATAAATATTATGTGGTTCAGCCACTAGGGCCAACATCCACGACACAAAGAGCCCAAAGGGCTACATCAGTTTTATAATGCTCTTTCAACTCATATAAAATACAATGGTGGAGGCTCCTTTATATAGGAGAATAAATTATGAGAATGGGAAGAATTAAAAAATAGGAAACATGGAAGATTTTTCTCCACTGATTCCTCTAGTACCACCAAATCTTCAATAATAGGAAACAATATCAATTACTAGAAGATTTTCCTCCATTGATTACTCCATTAAATCTCCAATACTCCCCCTCAAGTTGGAGCATGAATGCCCAACTTGCCATTGAGATGACGAGTAACAACAAGTGTGAACGATGAAGAGAGAAGAGAGAAGACGAAGAACAATGCTACCGAACACACCGACGACCCAAACAAGTCAACAAAAAACTGCCGGAGACACGACAAAGGCGATGACAATGCTACCGAACACACCAGTAGCCCAAACAAGTCGATAAAAACTGTCGGAGACACGGCAAGGATGAAGACAATGCTATCGAACACACCAGCAGCCCAAACAAGTCAATAAAAACTGCTGGAGACATGGCAAAGGCGAAGAACATTACTGCCGAACAAACCGGAAGCCCAAACAAGTCACAAATAGTACCGAGAAACCCTTAACAACATTTTAAATGCTAAGGGAATACTCTAAAATAGGGGAAGGAAGATAAATTAGGCTCTGACATCATGTTGTAAAGCATAAAACGGAAGCGAAGAGATAAATAAAACAAGTAGAACACACAGATATTACGTGATTCAGCCATTAAGGCTTACATCCACGACATAAAGAGCCCAAAGGGCAACATCACTTTTATAATACTCTCTCAATTCATATACAATACAATGGTGGAGGCTCCTTTATATAGGAGAATAAATTATGATAATGGGAAGAATTAAAAAATAGGAAACGTGGAGGATTTTTCTCCACTGATTCCTCTAGTAACACCAAATCTTCAATAATAAGAAACAATATCAATTATTAAAAGATTTTCCTCCACTAATTCCTCCATTAAATCTTCAATAAACTCCAACTACCCTATAATATTTTAAGGTAAAGCACTTCCCTATGCCCTTTGCACTCAAATTTTTTTACTTTCAAGTTTTCAACCCAGATATTTCAAGTTTGAATGTTTAATAAGTGTATTTCTAGCCCTCTCAAACACACCCATCCAAATTTACCAATAATTTAATCAGGACCCAAGAAAAAACTACTTGTTTAAAACTTGAAGATAATGAAAATAACCTTCAATTTTGTTTAAGATTGTATGCTTATTCACCCTCCTAAAGCTCATCAGCACAATGAATTTGCAAATATTGTATTGTGTATTGCATGCATGGTGTACAATTGACTCAGCATCCAATCATGACTCCATGTCAATGAAATTCATGCCACTCCAACATAATTAGCCCAAGGGGCGGAGCCAGCACCCCCTGCCCCATGCTGGCCCACTAGAATTTTTTTTTTTTCTATTCATAAACTTGTAGAAATTGATAAAATGCCCCCTAAAATTAATAAAAATTTATTTTTTCTTGCACTCATGCATAATTTATGTGCAATAACCTTCTTCTTTTTTTTTTCACTTATTCTGATGCAATGTTATTACGCTATTATATTTTCGGCTTGTTTGAAAAAAAATTATTTTATCAGTGTTAACATGCCTCCCCTGAACCAAATTCCTGGCTCCGCCCCTAATTAGCCCTATACAAATGTAAAACAACTGCAAATTACAGATCAAAATTTAAGTTTCTCGAGTTTTATTCTATCAATTAGTGTAAGGTTATATTAATAGCATCTTATGATGGCAAGGATTGTTAGAACCTTAAAGGAAAGTGGAGACATGCATTTTACATTAGATGCAAACTCAATAGCATATGTAAGGATATTAAGGAGAAGATATCAGACTTTGCACACATGACTATATTTTTCAGATCACAGAATAAGACGATGTATCTTGTTCAGGTTGATATAAACAATGAAAGGTTTAAGACGTTAATGAATAATGCAAAATAATATGGCACAAATTAAAACGTAATAAGTTCTACTCCTTCAGCACCATGAAAAGAAGCCTCACTAAATTAATTTCATAATTTTTACATTAAGTTCCTTGGCATTTTTTAACAAGTATCTAAAGTCAATATCCAGAATTCCATCCCTTCCTAACAGAACTTTAAACATTCTTAAGAAGAAAACTGGTGAGTTCAAGTGTTTCAAGCAAGTTCATACAAGAATGAAACCAAATGAAACACGTGCTGCAAATTTTACCTGTTCAAAAGCCGTCACGATAAATTCTCTAGAAAAGTTGCATTTGAAACATGAACTGCACTAGAAGCATGAGCATATGGGTCCAAAATGAATCTCTACAAAAGAAAGAGATAAGTTGTCTGAACAACTGACAAACTGCTCAAGAGTTGTCTTCACCCAATTCTTCCCATCCAGTACTACTTCTAATGTACAAACCGACAAAAATAAATACTATTCTGAGCAATCCACCAGAAATAGTTCTCAATTGAAACTTGGCCCTATCTCACTCTCCCATAGTAAATGATCTACCCAGCCAACAAGTGAGCGGAATTAAAGTAAGCCACCACATAAAGATACTTCTCATTTACTTATGGGTACTCCATGCTTTATTGCTTCGGAGCCATGTTACAACTCCCCCTGAGAATTGCTTGGTGAACTGTCAGTGCAGGATCATACAGAGGCCTCTGTATCTGGCTTTCTTGTTGGTGTCAACATAAGTTTTGTCACAATGGCATCACCTTTCTCTAAAAGCAGAGCACAAAAATTTTTACTTCATGAAACCCTGGACATGGCATGGTTCTTATCAGCACCCCGCAGCTTAGGATGATCCTCCAAGTCATAGTCTGCTTTCAAGAGAGCCACATCATTTTCATTTTTCTGCTGTAACCATCATAATTTCAAGTTTAAAATATTCAATCCTGCATCTACTTCTAGCGGTAGTGCTTGTTCAACCAAAACCACCACAGACTTAGGACTAATGCCAGCCTTCTGATTCATCTGTGCCTTAAAGGATCGAAAAGGCCAACCTGTTGATACATACAAAGACAGAGATGTAGAAGAGCTGGAGTGAACCTTGACCTGGACTCAAAACTTCCATACCTGGAATAATGTGACGTTGAAACCTTGAACAAGAGCGGGCAATGTATTCTAGAATTTACTTATGTTGATTTTACACCAGAACTAGACCCAGATACATAATTTGGGGATTGTCGATGGAAGTACGATCTAGAGGCAGTATAATCAGAATGTAGGACTATCTCTTTCTTTGAACGATGTCTCTCTGGAGTCCATTTTTCCCTCCAACTTTGCTTCAACCTGTGGCCCTTTCTCCAAGCTGTTGGAGTTTTCCTTTGTTACGAGGGAACTTCCACTGCTTAACAACCTCATCAATGCAGCATCTCTATTCAGTAGCAGCATTTCCACTTAATTATGTCCAACCTCAAAAATACACGTTCAGGTTTCATTCATACAAATGCAAGATGATAGATTACCAAATATGCAAAGACATCTGCAGCAAAACATACTAAAATTACTTCACACGTTAATGGCTAATTAAAACAGTATTTGGGATTAGGAAATTATGTGTGTAGACATTGATCTGAGGAAACACCACAAAGCTCATCTTAGCAACACAGACTGTCTCAATAGATGATCTATACACATTATGGTTAATTTAAGAACATGGAACTGTCACCAAATACAATAATAGGTTAGAATCTGTCAATTTCAATGTTTATGGGCACCCATAAAAGAGTACTTCAATAAATAAATAATTAACATCAAGCAAAAACATCAAACATTTGGAACCAAAATAAAACATAAAACCCAACGAATAACACACCAAAAATGAATAAACAGTATCGAGTCAAATTATGACTTTATGATATATTTGAATTATGCAGGATGATATCGGTTTATAAAAATGAACAAGCATGGAATTCTTCAAAGCATAAGTTAGATAAGCAAAGAGATAATTTATCAAACACCTTGTATGCATGAATAAGACCACTTAACAAGCCACGTTTGTATCTATTACTAGTCTCACCCTTACCGGCGAATTGAAAAAACGAAATTGAACATATAAACAACTCATTAGAGACTCTCTACCATACAACTAAGCCACAATTTCCATTAAGAAACATGTATACATACACAGGAGAGAGAGAAAAAGATCTCTCAAGTGACTGTGGTATACCTATGTGTGATAATTAGTTGTGAACGTCATCTTCCCGCGAAAGAATTGGCGAAGCACACACAGCAACAGTTATTTTCATTTAAGTGTGCGTTTGCACCTGATTAGTTGGAAGGAAAGGAAAGGAAAAGATGGAGGCATTAGGTACAAAACAAAAGAGGGGAATGGAAAAAGAGGGGGAAGGAATACATACAACAATCTTCAATTACGGTTGGCTATCATCAAAGATACACATTTTACCCGTATTTTATTTGTGATTGGTTTGGTTGTGTTGTTTTAATTGATAATACTTTAACTCCTGGACAAAAATTATGTTTGGGAGGATGGAATTGGATTAATAATTTCTATAATTTCAAGGCTAAAATTTCATATCCCCAAACACAGTCTTAGGTAAATGAAATAATTGGTTGAAGAAACACCGATTAAAGACATAATGTGAGAAAATTGATTAAAATTATTTTGCATGTACCTCAATAATTAATAATTGAATAATTGAAGAAGACTGAGGTTTGAAAACTCAATAAGTGTTTATTTAAAATTGGGTAAAATTTTAAATGACAGAGATATCACTCATTACTTAGTGCTAAGGGTTAAAAATTCAAAATAATTTTAAAAAATATTTAATTAATACTTTAAATCTTCACTTAAAATTTTTAATACTTAATTTTTAATTTTATCCAACATCACCTATAGTCTTCATTGAAAATAAAATAAAATAAAATAACTTGTATTTTTTTCATTTTTGTTTTATTATTATTTTTTTTTGACCTTACAATGGTTAAAATGTTTGTAGTTAGTGGGGATTAGGGGAAAGGGATTCAAATCTAGGATCACAGGGTGGGGGCACTTAAAGTCTCAAATTGATACTTTATAGATGTTTATTTTGTTACACGAGAATGTGATATGCACTTTAAACACATTATAAATATATTTTCTGTTGTTTACCCATTATATAAATATTGCACGATTGAAAATGTGAAGTTTTTTTACCCATTATATAAATATTGTAATATGCACTCTACCCATTATATAAATATTGCATGAGAAGTTTTTTTTTATCCAATTTCACTAATTTCTATTTCAAAATTCTAATTTCATGCCGGCCAAACATAGCCTAAAAGATGACCACTGGCATTTTCTTTTTTCATTCTACTCTATAATTAACAGCATAATTTATTTTTCTTTACCTCTTGGCTCTTACTTATTTAATTACACATAAGGTTAATAAACGATTAATGCATAAAATATATTATACTATTTCTATCCCAAAAAATGTCAATCTTTTCATTTTTGGCTCTCTCAAAATAAATGTCTCATTTAAAAAGTCAAAGTATTTACATTTTGTAACATTACCAATTTAACATTCTTGTATTAAATTTATAAAAAGTAAATCATAATTTTTCTGTAGACCTATTATGAATAATTTGATAATTCTTTCGGTACCAATATAATAAAAAAATATTAAAATTTTTCCTCTTCAAAAAATGGGCAAACTATAATGACCTCCCCTGAGGTTTGACCTAATTGCAAGTAAACTTAAGGTTTGCCTTTTTTTTTTACAACGTGTTCCTATGAGGTTTGATCAATTTTACAAAGACATTTCCTTTCTACAAAAATTAGTACTTTTTGTCAGAAAAATTAGTTGAAGAGACCAAAATGCCCATCAACTAAGTGTAAAGACTCTATTACCCTTATAGTTTCATAAGAAAAAAAAAAAAAAAAACCAACATTGTTTTAATGGACAGAAATACCCTTCTCTCCTACCCTTTCTCTCTCTTTCTCTACCCACCCAAAAAGCTACAATACTTACACAAACGGGCAAGCTCTGAGCAACAACTTTCATTGAAGCCGACACCGAAGTTGTTTGAACCAAATTGAAACTCCATTAAAGATCATATCCAATCCAAGACCGAGATAATGACTCAATCAAAGCTTCTTGCCGCTCCAACCGAGACCTAATAGGAAAGCCTCATAGCTATCTGATATATATATATAGCCACACATACAAATATGATGGGTTATATACACAGAGCTATAAATATATATACACACACATACAGTGAGCCAAATACAGAGAGCAATATATATATATATATATACTCACTTGACGGCAAAAAAGGGTTTGATTCGTATTCCTTCTTTTGTAACGGGTTCTAAACCCCGATTTGATCACATTACAGCTTGTTTGGGTGAGAGATTGAGCAAGGAGTTAATAAGCTAACCCAAATCGCAATTCTAAATCCCACCGATGAGATGTTAGTTGCCTCCTTAAGCAATTGTATATATACATGAAGGATAATTAACACTAAAAATCTAGAGAAACATAGAAGATAGTTGGGCAACGACGACGGTGAGGTTTGGGGTTAACGTTGAGATTGATCTCGCCGTAGCTGTGACAATGCAATGATTAGGGCTGCAAATGAGCCGAACTGTTCATGAACAGCTCGGGCTCAACTTAAGCTCGTTCATTAAGTAAACGAGCCGAGCTCGAGCCCAATTTTTAGGCTCGCTTAGTAAACGAGCCGAGCCCGAACAACGTTAGGCTCGTGAACAAGGCTCGTTTAGGCTCGTGAACTAGGCTCGTTTATTAGCCATTTATAAGTTTTTGATCCAGCCCATATGTGTGAGTCCATCCAATTATACATAATAAGCCCATTTGAAAACCATTACTATAATCTAAGCCCAAACAAAAATGGCCCATATTCATTTAAAAAACCCAACCCATTTATGTTACCAAACAAACCCTATTTTCTAGTTCATTCTTTACCACAGAATAAGCATCGGCGGCCACTCTCATCTTCCCCATTCACTTCTTTTCTTCTCTGCAACCATTCTTCCTTCACTGGCTGCCCTTCAATATTTCATATTATGAAGACAACAATGGAAGAGTAATGAAAATAATTGCTAGCTGTAGATGATTTCAGACAACCTGAAGGTATGTATGTGCATATATATATATATGTAGATCTATTTTTATTTTTGATAAGTAAGAGTTAGGGTTCATAAAATTCACTTTTCAAACACCATCACCGCCTCGATCTCAACCTCCAGGCCCTGATGAGGAAGTGGTCGATACCTCATGTACCGTTTCTCTCATGCATTCTATTTCTCTTTCCAGATTGAGGTACGTTAGGGCTTTATCTCCCTACTGGCATAAATGTGTTCCATATATGGACTTGTGTTAGAGTAAAGTTCACATTCTGATTCTTAAGATTGATGTGCTTATTGACGCAAATTGATAGATATATAGCTCCACACATTGATATATATATGATATAATTGTGTTATAGTTTGTATTATATATACTTATAAATATATTTACTGGGTATCTATAGGTGTTGTGTATCTTTGTGTGCGCTGTATCTACAGATGAGCCCGAACCGAGCCGAGCCCGAGCTCGTCGATTTTCTGACGAGCCGAGCTCGAGCTTGGCTATTCTAGGCTCGCCCGAGCCCAAGCACCTCCCTGATTGTGGTGAGCCGAGCCCGAGCATGCCAAAGCTCGGCTCGGCTCGGCTCGGCTAGGCTCATTTGCAGCCCTAGCGATGATGCTAGTCTGGTGGTAACAGCGTGATGATGTTGGTTTGGGGTTAACGTCGAGATTGATCTGGACAATGGCGAAGAGATTTGGGAAATCGTGCTTGCTGATCATAGAGTTGGGATTGGATTCGCGTTGTGCACGACGGCATTAAAGGGACGATTAAGGCTTTGATTTGTTCCTTTTTGGTACACACAGGTCAGCTCTTCTATATCGAGCTTTTGCTCAGTCTTCTATGGTTTGGATCGTTTAAGCTCTGTACTCATCTTCGGTTGGGTCGCTGAAGCACTCTGATCATCAATGGAGCTCACTCTCTATTGGTGTGTGTGTGTGTATATATATATATATACTTAGGCCCTGGACACTAATCTTTAAGCTCGCCGGAGCTATTGGGTCTTCAATAGTGTAGCTTCAGTTGGATCTTCAATGGTGTGCATCAGTTTGACCTTTGTGGGGGTTCATTTTCGTAACACAATAAAATACATATAAATGGTGATATCATACATAAATTTGAGTGATCCAAACAACATAATAAAATCTGAGGTGAACTAAGAGAGGTGGAAGCACAAGTAAACTCGAGAGAGAGGGTGAAAATGGTAGTGTATTAGTATACCATTGACTCCCTTGGTGAAGATGTATAGAGAAAAACCATGAAAGGTTATTTCCTCCTCCTTTTTTACTCTGCCTTCCACTTGGCCTTGGATCACTTCCTTATATAGGCCAAGTAAGAGGTTAGGTGATATCATATAACATCACATGTGGGGCCCATTAATATTATAAAATAATGTTAATTAAGATGGGTGTAAAATGTATGGGAGTCAAAATGGTATCTCTCTTTCTGCGAGTTAGGTCGAGGGTCGACTCAACGAGTCCTGAACTTCATCCATCAAACCAAGAACCTCCTCGGATCCTAAGTAATCCTGAATCCTGCTCCCAACTTAGGTCTTCAAGTCTTCGATCTTCTATTTGAGGTATACTAACGTGGTAAGTGTTACGTAACTTAAACCGTTTGACCATTTAACTTGTGGGCCATTGTTTTTAATGTGGCATCGCCTGTTGACCATTTGACTAAAATTTGTAGGTCATTGTTGATGACGTGGCATAGTCTATTGACCGTTTGACCAAGAAATGTGGGCCATGTAAAGTGAGATATATTAAACACCTACATTTAGTCCCCCTGCGCGGGTGAGCTTTGTAGAATTCGTAAAAGGTTAGCCGTGCATAAATAACCTGAAAAGTGGTGTTTACGCAAGGTTTTGCTTGACTTGGTATGATACCACGTTTTGGTGACTTGGTGCGATACTAGGGCTTGATGACCTAGAGTGATACCTGGAGTGATACCAGGGTTTGGTGACCTTATGAGATAATAGTGTTTGGTGACCCGGGGCGACGCCAGGGGTTACTAGTGAGTGCGAGCGTTAAAGTGTCAAAGAATGTGCAAGCTAAGTAGATGGCGAGAGATACTACAACGCAAAATGATATAAAATAAGTAAGAATATGCAGGCACTATAGAGGGCGAGTGAGTGTTTGCATGAGCGAGTGCGATAGTTAGAGTGTGTAAAAGTGTGCAAGCCAAGTGGATGATGATAGACACTATGAAACAAATGAGAGGCACGAGTTAGGTTATGCTAGCACGATCGAGTGCGATAGTTAGAGTGTGTAAAAGTGTGCAAGCCAAGTGGATGACGATAGACACTATGAAACAAATGAGAGGCACGAGTTAGGTTATGCTAGCACGATCGAGTGCGAATGAGTACTAGCACGATTAAGTGTGATACAGTAATAGCACAAGCAAATGCAAGTGAGTACTGGCAAGAGCGAG